ACAGCAAGGTATTTGTGTATTTAGAAATGTCTACAGCATGAATAAAAGAGCTGTCATGAGCCTCATCAACTTCTTTGATGTAAAGATATTAAATATTTCGGAAAAAGCCTAAATTACTTAATTTGCAATAGTGTTCCCTAAGTGAGTAATCAGTCTGGCTTTCAAGATTATGTAGTTCAGAGGAGCACAAACAGAATAATATGTATGGCTATAGACTGCAAATCCAAATCAAATAAAATCTTCACATAGCAGTTATACACTCTATCTAGTACATGTATTCTGAATTAAATGTCACATGGAGTTAATGTATTATTAATGAATACATTTAAAATAGCTTGAATTCAACAGATCATGGTGGACTTCAGAAACTGTAATTATATACTGATGTCTGCAACATTCTGCAACATATTTATAGCCATATTACTGTCTTTAACTCTTTGCAAGCAATCTCTAATCTCTGGAGCACATCCAGAGAAGGGCAATGAAGCTAGTGAAGGGTCTGGAGCACAAGTCCTAGGGGGGCAGGCTGATGGAACTGGGGTTATTTAGCCTGGAGAAGAAGAGGCTCAGGGGTGACCTTATCACTCTACAACTACCTGAAAGGAGGTTGGAGCAACATGGGCCTCTCCCAGGCAGCTAGAGACAGGACAAGAGGATATAGCTTCGAGCTGTGCCGGGGAGATCTAGGCTAGGTATTAGGAAGAATTTCTTCACGGAAGTGGTAATTAGACACTGGAATGGACTGGCACTTAGTGCCATGGTCTAGTTGACATGATAGTGTTAGGTCATAGGTTGGACTCGATGATCTCAGAGGTCTTTTCCAACCTGACTGATTCTGTGATAATTGCATATATATGTAATGTGTGGAAAATCACTCTTCAAGAGAAAAGAAAGAGAAGTTTGCATATGATGGCACTGGAAGAAAAGGCATTACAGTAGAATATACTTTTTTCTAAGAAATACAGTAGAAATCATAAGCCTAATTACGTTTTCTTGACTCTCCTAAATTAATTTGTAAATGCTTGGTATTTACCAAAATGTGTATTATTTCTTCAGGTTTTTTATCATCTACAGGAATCCCATTGACTTCTCTCAGTTCATCACCAACGTGAATAAGACCTATGGAAGACAAAGAGGAGTTGTG